GGGGGGGGACGAACTGCTCTCCGTTTTCTAACAGGTCCCTTGAATAGAGAAGCCTATAGAGATGGTGCTAGCAACTGAGAATTAACTAATCCTCTAATCTTTACCTCATTTAATTATTCTGTTTCAACATGTCAGGTAATGTTGGATTACTAGCTAGTCTAATGTTTTGCTTTCCGCTCTCAATCTACAGATTTTACCTAGAGTTGTCCTGGAGGCGATTCCTCTGGACTTGCTTAAGAAGAAGAAGCTTAGAGAGAAAGCAATCAACCTTATCATAATGGAGTGCAAGTGAGTCTCTATTTTAGATGTCTGTTTGAATTTTATTGCAACTTGAAGAAGTTAAACCGGTGTTAATTGCAGCCACCTGAGTTGTGCACAAAGATAGTAAATGGATAATCTTCATTTTTGGTAGGATCAGATATTGAATCACGTACAACATCTATAAGCATATTTATCTAGAATGAGTAGGTAATAGATGAACTGATGAAGATCCATTGCAATTACTCACAAGATACACATTTGGCAAAACGTACCTCCAAAGTCCAAACCAACGATTATCCATTCTATTAGCATGTCTTTTACGTCAGGTACATTTTCTTCATCCACATATTCTGAGATCCTTTTATCTTATGTAGGGAAATGGAGTATGATGGTATTGTACTTGAGTCCTGGTCAAGATGGGTAGCTTATGGCATCTTGCATAATTCAGATATGAGAAATCTGGTTAAGTGCTTACCTTCTCTCTCTGGTTTTTGTTCCTTTTAGTAACACTTGGGAGCTGGGAACAATGATATTTTGTGTAGATCCTGAACGATAAAGTTCGTTCCGTTCTTATAAGGTGGCGTGTAGTTCTAACTTCTGAAAATAAAGGATCCTATCTCATACTTTTCATTTTTTGCTTTGTACAAAAGCTGGAAACATGAAAGCCATTACATGAAATATTTTATTATATGAAAAATATTACGTAAATAGTGCCTTAATTATTAGAACCTTCTTAGTTTAAATTTTAATATTTAAACTTCAAGGAAAGAACTCTGCATTGGTGAGTGTAATTTGGGTATATGGAAAAGTAATTCACAAGATTTCTGATGAGTTCTGCTTCTTTGATGGTTTGCAAGTGTAGGCATTGCAATTTATAAAGCAACTTGGAGAAGCTATGCATTCTGTGCACTTAGAAAGGAATGGCAAGACAAATCTGCAGTTAGTTTATGTGATAGGCCCACCGCGTACAGATAAGCTGCAGGAGCATGACTTTGGACCAGAAGATTTACAAGCCCTTTATGATGCTGTAGATGGTTTCTCTCTCATGACTTATGACCATTCAAGTCCTTATAATCCGGGTCCCAATGCACCTCTGAAGTGGATACGCTCTACGTTGCATCTTCTTGTGGGTGCTGGCAGCAAAAGTAGGAGATTGGGTGAAAAAATCTTTGTCGGGATCAACTTCTATGGCAACGATTTTGTCATGTCCGGAGGTATGCATATGTTTATCTTATTGTGCTATGTGTAACAATATTCCCTCACTTCCCCCTTTGCACCAACCCTGAGTAAAAAAGAAAATGAAAAACACCATTTTTTTTGGCTTATGTCCTTTTGTTCTCTAGGAAGAAAATTAAGAGGAACTTCTAAAGATATTAGTTAAACAGAGTTCTAACTTTTCCTATCTGTAAAGTTTTGAAGATCATAGAAAATTCAGATATTATAGATGTAAAGATGGTCAATTTTATGTCAGGTAAAGGACTGCTAAAGTTTTTTGTAGTGAATGACTCTGTTTAATTACTCATCTCCCTTGAAATCTTGTGATATATGTTTTCCTGGAAAATATTGCAAACAAAAATTTCAGTTGGCAATGGGGGTGAATGCAAGGATGTAGTTTCACATTATCTTGACCTACGAGAGTAACATCGGCTTTAAGGGTAAATTTGAATGATTCATGTGCAATGAAGCTGACTTTAAAGTTGATTCTGGTGTTAGTGATTAAAACATCTCTAATATTTGAGTTCTAAAAAAAATAAAAAATAAAAAAAGACAATTGTAGAATTACTAATATCTTCCACAAGTTAGGTGTCTAGACTACCATTTTGGCCACACTGTTGATGCTGGGCATTTCTGTACAACATTCTTCTCCATTTGAGGGTGGAAGAATCAAATATCCACCCTCTAAGGGATTTTGCATCTCCAAAGTTTTCTGATGAGAGTTAGTAAATACCGGGTGAGATTGGCCGAGCAAACCATTTGCTATACTTCTACTATCTCACCCAAAAAAGTTATCAGGCCAGCTGCCGATTGTGTAGTTGTACTTCTCTGTAGCTTCTTTTATTTTGCTTCCCTTTAATCTGTGGACGATGCTATACATATGTTTCTGGAGTGTACTAAGACCTATTGGACTACACTTCAATTGCAGCTCAAATGTCCCTCTTTTTTCATCTTAAAGAGTTTGATGAATCTTTACTTGCTCATATCTGTCAATCATTTGTAAAGGATCAGTACATTTACAGGTTTAGGTGGGGGACCTATCATAGCACATGAGTATCTCTCTTTGCTGGAGCAGCACAAGCCTTTATTTCAGTGGGAGGGGAATAGCGCTGAACATTTCTTCTTGTACTCTGACAATCAGCATGTCCAGCATGCTGTATTCTACCCAACGCTCATGTCACTTGCAATGCGACTTGAGGAAGCTTGTTCATGGGGCGCAGGCATATCAATTTGGGAAATTGGTCAAGGTTTGGAGTACTTTTTTGATATTTTGTAGTGTTTTTATCTTCACTTGGTGTCGGTGCCTAGTCTTACATTCCATTTGTTTGATTAAATAGTCGAAAGAGACTATGTTGCTACAGTTGTCATGGATTAGTTTTTGAATCTAGAATGCGGCTCTATGTTACCATTTTCACTTCACTTGCGGTTTTCTTGTATATGAACTGTCTTATTTTCTCTCTTTACACATACCAGAACTACTGAATTGTGGAACCTTCTTCATTTTTTTACCAGGGAAAGGTCCAAAAGATATACCCTATCATTTGTGATTTATTTCATATATGCCTTCTGTTTACCTCGGCTTATAGAAGTATCTTCACCAGTTCACCTTAATCTTTCGTCTCAAATATGCCCCTCCAACTTGCAGTTTTCCATTGCAGTGGTATATTTGGACCTTTTCAATTGTTTATGGATATGCTTTTCATTACTACAGAGGGTTATATATAAATGAATCTGATAGCTTAGGGGTAAATTTGAGTTTCTTGTTTCTATGCCTCTCCATAATGCTAAATGTCAGAGCCAAGCGGATAAGTGTTGAGGGAGAGCTAAATATGAGACAAAGCTGAGGAGAGCTAAATATGAGACGAAATTAATGGTGGACGCTTTGGTGGACCGAAGGCAAGGACAAATCTGAACATGTTCCCTTTAGGACCTGTACCTTTTATTTCCAAAACTTGGAATGTATTTCCTGGTCATTTATGCCAAAAAAGAGAAGAAAAAGAAAGCTGTTGGAATGTATTTCTTACGAAACCACAATGCATCTCCGTTCATATCACACGAATCAGACATTGCATTGGAAATTTGGGCAGTCATTTGTACCAACAGTTTTATTGATTTCAGTCTATCTAACTTTTGGTCAGGCTCAATTTGTCGAGCAATGTTTTCATTCTGCCTATTACTGAATTCAGATAGGCAGTTCGGGGGTATGCCTCGGTGTAAAAAGAAAAAAAAGAAGATATTTATCTTGTTTCATTTTATGTGATGATATTTAATTGGATATAAATTTGTATAAATATGAATGAAAACATTAAAGTAATAGTAGTTGAAAAGTAAAATATTGTAGGTTCAGTATCTCTCAGAATGCAAATTATGATGACTAAGGGAGATAAGGGTCTATTTTGGTGAAAAGATAAAACAGTCTCTACACAGGCCTTGATAGTCAACTATTTCAACATATGTTGACTTTACCAATTACTACATACATTTGTTAAGGACAGGGAGACTGGTGAACAAGTCTTCAAACTAATTTATATACAACTAACAAATTATTTTTTCTCATCAATCTCAAATTCATATTCAGATCTGTTTATTGCTGGCTATAGCTTTGTTTGAGCATAGTCAGCCAGTTTCGTGACTTTGCATAGCTGCGAAAAAAAATGGGAGAAAACAATTTTTGGGAGAGAGAAGTAGTGATTACTGAGCTAACCAAGGGGAAGGAATTGATGTTGCAACTGCAAAAACACTTTGATCCCATGAAACAGGACGTTTACCGGTATTTGGCTGCGGAAATACTTTCTTCCTATGATAAAGCTATGTCCCTCTTAAATGGCACAGCTTTATCAGGTATGATGAGCAAAAGTAAAGAGATCATTAATCCATCACCATCTTCATCAACTGCTTCCCAGCTGGAATCTCATCAACTTCTGGCTGATAGTAGCACTAAGAGCTGTGACCGCCCCTCTAAATCCAGGAAGAGGTATTCGATCTTACCACCTCTCTTTTCTTGTGTAACCATTTGGTTTTCGAAACTTATTGATTGTCTGATCTGGATTCACACCGTAGAAAACCAGCCATGGATTTTTAGTGCTATTTACTAAATAGGACTAAATTTTGATCAGGACTCAATCCTGAGACTCTGGTTAATAGTGAACAGAACTTTTACCATTCTACTTCATCCCATGTGGTATTTGTACAAAAATTTAATGTGAATTGAAGTGATATGTGCTTAAGCTTAGATCTTTAGAACATCCAGAGTGTCATGAATCGCTTTAAATCTTAGTGGTTTGAAAATTTTGATCTACTGGTCCTCAGAAGTGGTACCTAGCCTTACTACAGTACCTAATGTTATTTCACAGGTGTCTGGAGAGGGTATAGGATGGTAGAGTCATAGAGGGGTTATTTCCGATAGACAGTCAGAACCAAGACTCTCTTAACTTACTATGGTCAAGTAATTAAATGAATGAAGTAGGATTATATATAAATGAACCTTGGTCAAATGATAAATTTTATGTAAATAATCATGGACTTATTAAGTTGATGCTAATACTTGGTGCTGATAAGTATTTTTCCTCTAATAATGCTACATGATAGCAATCATATTCGTATATGTATGTTCTCCAAAGACAGTTACCAAATTGTATGTAAACAATTTCGCCTACACTAACTGTAATTATTCAGATGATCAGGGCATGAAGCGGTATAAGCTTTTGAAACTTAAATTGTAGTATTCTTACATGTTAAAAGTCCTTGTTAGAAACTTCAACGTTACACGATTAATCATTATAGGAAGATGCTGGCACCAAGGACAGAGTATGTAGAAGCTCGACACGGAGAAGAGGTTCCACCTGAAGATGGACTTAATTGGAGGAAATATGGACAGAAACTTATCTTAGGTGCAAAATATCCCAGGTGAGTACTATTCTTAAGTTCCTTGACCAAAAATCTGAATATCTATTTCATGAATGAATTGACCAAAAGGTTGTATGATACTACAATATCCGGGAATTCCGTGGTTAACTGATAGGGATTATCTTCTTTTGGAAATGCAGAGAATATTTTCAATGTGTTTGTCGTCATTGTGATGCTACTAAGATGGTCCAGCGAATCCAGACAGAGCCATTAACTTTTGAAGTTACCTATGGGGAAAGTCACAGTTGTGGTCAAGAAAACAAAAACCGAAATGAAGAACTACTAGTTGCTGTGGGAACTCAAGTTGGAAGAGCAGCAGGGAAACTATCTGAATGTTACATTCCTGAGATGGTTACCCCAAATAATTCTAAAACGAAATATCCATCTGATATTACATACGATACTATCCTACAGTTATTCTCAGACCAACCAAGTTATATTCATTTATAATCAAGTCAATTTTATTAACTCAAAGACAAAGTGACCAAATCTCCATTTACTGAAATTGGAGTAGAACTTCTAAATTATAGATGTTTGTACGTCCATGAATATACAAGCTAAAGGTAGATATTCTTAATTGGGAAAAGAAACTTGTATTCCAAAAAGAGAAACTATTTACAAGCGGCTACTCCTTTACTTTCACACCCCTCTATTTTTAACTACTAATTCACATTTACAGTATATACCTTGATGGTATCAAAGAGGAAGAAATAGTGATTCAGTGAAAACATTATTCAATTACTCCTTGATACTATTTGAGTATATATAGCTCTGATGGCTCAATTACTGCTTGATATGATAGATAACATTATAGTATAGAAGGTTCAATATCTCCCATAAAGCAAATTATGATGACTAAGAAGGGAGATAAGGGTCTATTTTGGTGAAAAGACAAAACAGTCCCTACAAAGGCCTTGATAGTCAACTAATGCAACATGTGTTGACTCTATCAATAACTACATACATTTGTTATGGACAGGGAGACTTGTAAACAAGTCTTCAAACTACTAATTTATATACAACTAGCAAATTACTTTTTCTCAAATTCATATTCAGATCTGTTTATTGTTTTGGCTATAGCTTTGTTTGAGCATAGTCAGTCTGTTTGGTGACTCTGTATAGCTGCGAAAAAAATGGGAGAAAACAATTTTTGGGAGAGAGAAATAGTGATTGCTGAGCTAACCAAGGGGAAGGAATTGATGTTGCAGCTGCAGAAGCACTTTGATCCCATGAAACAGTTAGTGTGCCAGTATTTGGCTGTGGAAATACTTTCTTCCTATGATAAAGCTATGTCCCTCTTGAATGGCACAGCTTTATCAGGTATGATGAAGAGCAAAGGTAAAGAGATTATTCATCCAGCACCGTCTTCATCAACTGCGCCCCAGCTGGAATCTCCTCATCTTCTGGCTGACAGTAGCACAAAGAGTTGTGACCGTCCCTCTAACTACAGGAAGAGGTATTCAATCTCATCCCTGTCTCTTTTTTTGTTTTGTTTTGTTCAACCATCTGGTGTTCAGAACCTATTTATCGTCTAATCGGAATTCACATAGAAAGTCCACCATGGGATTTTAGTGGTATTTACCTAATAGGACTACTTGTTCAGGACTCGAGACTCTGGTTATAGTGAAAGAACTTTTCCTATTCTACTTCATCCCTTTATGGTATTTTCATCCCTCACTTATAACTGAATTGGAGTACAAAATTTAATGTGAATTGAAGTGATACGTGCTACATTAAGCTTAGATCTTTAGAACATTAAGAGTGTCGTGAATCGCTTTATATCTTAGTGGTATATTGAATGCTTTGAAAAATCTAGATTTCCTGGTCCTGAGAAGTGGTACCTAACTAGCCTCTCTCCACTTACTACAACAACATATCCGAAGGGTAAGATGTAAGCAGACATTACCCCTACCTCTATGAGGTTGAGATGATGTTTTTGATAGACCCTCGATGCCAAAACTCTCTTAACTAGCTATGGTTAAGTAATAAAATGAAGTAGGATTATATATGAATGAACCTCGATCAAGTGATAAAATGAGCAGAGACTTATTGGTTTGATGCTAGTACTTGGTGCCGATAAATACTTTTTCTCTAATAATGCTACATGATAGTAATTATATTTGAATATGTATGTTCTCCAAAGAGAAAGTTACCAAATTGTATGTAAACAATTTCGCCTAGCCTAACTGTAATTTACTCAGATGATCAGGGCATGAAGCGGATAAGTTTTAGAAACTCAAATTGTAGTATTCTTATACGTGTTAAAGGTCCTTGTTAGAAACTTCAACGTTACACGATTAATCATTATAGGAAGATGCTGGCACGAAGGAAAGAGTATGTAGAAGCTCGACCTGGAGAAGAGGTTCCACCTGAAGATGGACTTAGTTGGCGGAAATATGGGCAGAAACTTATCTTAGGTGAAAAATATCCCAGGTGAGTACTATTCTTAAGTTCCTTGACCAAAAATCTGAGTATCTATTTCGTGAATGAATTGACCAAAAGGTTGTATGATGATACTATACTATCTGCGTGTGGATTTCACATATGGTCATTGAATATTGGAAATGCAGAGAATATTATCGATGTCCTCGTCGTTGTTGTGAGGCTACTAAGATGGTCCAGCGAATTGAGACAGAGCCATTAACTTTTGAAGTTACCTATGGAGGAAGTCACAGTTGTGGTCAAGAAACCAAAAACCAAAATGAAGAACTAATTGCTGTGCAGCAGACAAAATGTGATGAAGTTGGAAGAGGAGCAGGGCAAATATTTGAATCCTATATTCATAAGATGGTTTCGACCCCAAATAATTCGTATAACAATTCCTCAACGGGGGTTGAGTTCTCAAACTCCAATTCGGTATTCAACATCCCCAATTCCGACTTCATCCCCACACCGACTTCTTCACCTCATCCAGACATGGACTTTCCATTTGACTATAGTAGTTTCACTCACTTGTTTGGTCAAGATGTGCCTGATAATTCTGGCAATGATTCTCTGGCTGCTCTGGCTGCTGAGGTCTATAAACTCTATGAGGAGAATGGCAAACTCAATTTTCCTCATCGTTACGACAAACAGGCTGAGAATTCCAGACCCTCGAACAATGTTGGGGACCAATCATAACGTAACGTACCAAGTATCTCTCTTTGCTGGAGCAGCACAAGCATGTAATGTAATATAAAGGAAGAAATGGGCTCAACATTTCTTCTTGTGTTCTACCCATAGCTCTATATTGTCTGTCTCAATTTAATTGTCTTACTTTTCTCTTTGATCTATTCCAAAAAGAGTGTGTTCTATATTTAGATAAATTTTCAATTTGAACATTCTATATGATAGGTTTAAGACCATAAATTTCTGTATGACTTACTCTCGGTAAGGATGTTTGTTATGTATTGTCTCATAATGTATCATATTGTGTTGTATTTGTTAAGAATGACAAAAGTCTCGCATTGGTGGTTAATGAGTTGGGTGAATTCTTTATAAGACTTGGGCAATCTTCCTCCCTTTAAGCTTAACTTTTGGGGTGTGAGTTAGATCCGAGACCTAATTTCACAATATTAATAAAGTCAAAATGACACACGTCTCGGTTGTATTGCTTAGAATTCATCCCTTTACAAGTGTGTTAGGACTCGACTTATAGTTAACAAAGCAATACATCAACTAGTAGGAAAAGCTAAGCCCTACATCTTTTTTCCACAAGGAAAAAATATTAAATTTTAATGAAAGAATTCAATCTCTTTTAATATTTTTCTTTAGCCAAACCTAGCAATAAAAGTAATGAACATGACAAATATGTTATTTTATAATAATTTTTAATTAAAATGACTTTGTACAAAATTAGAACGTAGACAAAAATGTGGACATGGAAATTGAACTTGAATGACGTATAGATTTTTGCACAACCTTGCCACTAAGCTAATAGTACTCTCAAATGTGTCAAAGATCTAGACTTTTAGGACTCGTTTGGTAGGCGGTATTAAATAGAATAGTCCTTGGATTAAAATTTAATCCATCTAATACATTGTTTGGTTACATTATTTTATTTAATCCATGGATTGCTTATACATTATATATGGTCTTATTTTATCCCTAGTAAATGGAGGGATAACTAATCCTTGGATAAGACCCCTAAATGACAAAATTATCCCTTTATTCATTTTCCTAAATTTCTTTGTAATTTAATTTTCTTTTATTTATATTGAAATAATTATAAATGTTCTTTTAATTCTCCAAATTCGTTTAGTGTAATTTAATGATTTCATTAATATTTTTTATTCAATGTAGTTCGTCGATTAACCACTTGGACTATTTTTTTAATAAGCTTTAGCTATTGAACAATATAAGTAGTCTTAAATCTATGTTAAGTTTAAGATATACTTGACCAACAAAAAAAGTGGTACATCATACCTCAAATTTTATTATATATATATATATATATAAGTGTGTGTATGTATGTATGTATGTATGTATTTAACTTAACTAGTTAAATGAAATAGAAAATCCTAAAAAAAATAATATTGTCCCACAACAATTTTGATTAATTATTATCCGGGTAAGGGACTTTGGTATAAAATTGTATAAGTATATTTTTAGATCTTCATTTTTGATAAGTTTAAACTCTTTTGTCAACATCCAATTGCCATATACAATTATTATACAGGTTAAAATTTGTAAAAATAAATAAATAAAGATTTAGCATATATTTTTTTACTATGAATTTTATTCAACTGTTGCGTAGTATTAAATTCTTGTTATTAATTATGCACAAAAAAGAAAAAAAATGTTTCAATTTATATAACACTCTTTTTCTTTGTTATTTTCTAAATTTTTTTTACTGTAGTGTTATGGTCTAGTTATCTACCTTGACTCAATTACATGAAATAAACAATCTCATAATAACACAAGGGTATAATAGGAAAGTAATTTTTTGTAGTAGTTTTAAATCAAACACAAGATTAAGTGGGAAACAATGAACCAAACACTTAACAAAAAATAATCCCTGCATTACTAATCCCTGCGTTATCAATGTT